AGCTAGAGTTGATGCTAAAATTAGATATCTAAGGTCGAAACTGAGCAAGAAGCAGTCAAATCTTTCTCATTGTTCAGCTCAAGATGCAGTGTCACCTAGATCTTTGTAGCATGTATAGGTTTGTCTTCTCAATTCTCTGATGCATCAAGACTTTGGAGATGGTTGTTGATGCTGTTTTTGTGGAGAGGTTATAGGAGTGAGATTGATGTAAAGAGTAGTAGTAGCTGATGTTTTTGTTTTTTACTTTTGGGTTCTCATTATTTAACTTTATTTGTTAATTTTGTACAATAAACTTAGGTTTTGTGGATACATAGACAGAATGCTAAAACCTAACAAAGAATCTTGCTTTGTGTCTTTTTATTTTGCATATATACAGTTATTATTTTAATAACGTAAATATATTAGTTAGAGGTTATAGGAGTGAGATGGATATAAAGAGTAGTATAGTAGTAGCTGATGTTTTTTTTACTTTTTGGGTTCTCATTTTTTAACATGATTTATTTCCTTTGTACAATAAACTTAGATTTTGTGGATACTTACTAACAAAGAATGCTAAAACCTAACAAAGAATCTTGCTTAACGTGTCTTTTTATTTTGCATATATACAGTTATTATATCTTTATAACATAATAAATATATTAGTTAGAGATAAAGTCCTATTAAAAAGTCCTAATCCCATATGGGTTAAGACATAGTATAGACAAAGGATATAATTTATTTGTGATCTAGGTTATTATTTCCCGTATGGTTTTGTTATTTTTGTTTTAAGTTTGCATTTGCAAGAAATTTGTATGATATTACATCACAAATAGTATCAGAAAGACAAAAGATATCAATTTGAAACATTTATTAATAAATGATACATAATATGATCACTTACTTAACAAAGATTCATATAGACAAAGATAAGTTAATAACAACATCAATTACAACAATGGATGCATTTGCAAGAAATTTGTATCATACACTATAAAAAAAATCATATTACATCACAAATAGTATCAGAAAGACAAATGATATCAATTTGAAACATTTATCAATAAATGATACATAATATTTGTTTCCACATCCATTGTTGTAACTGATGTTGTTATTAACTTATCTTTGTCTATATGAATCTTTGTTAAGCAAGTGAAGATCAATTAAAAGATATATTGTATTTTCATATACATGTAAAAATATGCAGTTTACTCTAAACTAAAATAATTTTAATTTTTACTATTGTGTCTGTTGTTCTTATTAGAAATCAAAGGTTTGGTATTTCTGCAAATCACTCTTCCTAAAAAAGCTTTTATTTTTTTCATTAATGTAAATCTTTTACATTTTTAGTGTTTGCTATATTTTTATTATGAAAGTAAGTAAATAAAAATACTTGTCACTACAGTTGAAATTCAATACATAAATCATGAATTATTTTTTTATATTTGTTTTTGAATGCTTTGGTACTTTTTATACATTTTAAACCTATTGATTTAGATAATGTAAAACATTAATCAATCTACAATTTTTTTCCAAGTTCGTGATATAAAATAACAATCTAAAACTGGTTATTTAAGTATATACACAGTTTATTAAAACTTTTATCAAACAAACCATATCATCCCAACTTTTATCAAATAAACCATATGAAGTTCAGGCCGTACTACGTACATTTTCGGATTAAGTAAGACTCATTCATTTAAGCATGATTTTTAAAATTACATTACTATGAATTTAATAATCCCTTATACTCTATTACTATAATATAAATCTACAAAAATAGATTCAAACAAAAAATTACTTTAAAATCATAATATGTAGATTAAGCCTGGTCATTTTAACTTGGACCCGAAAACTCGAACCGGAACCAACAAAAAATACTCGACCTAAACCCGACCCAAAAAATTACAAATATCATTTGGGTCTAAATTTATTTTACCCGAATAGATCCGGACCCGAAAAGAACCGATCCGAATAGACCAGGACATGAAAAAAACTGGGCCAAATAGACCCGACCCGATAGAAACCGATTTGTACCCGACTTAAAAACATGTATATGCAAAACTATATTTTTTTGTGTTCTGTTATATATATATATATATATATATATATATATTATTTTATGATTTAGATGAAATATCTTTGTTAACAATATTTATTATTAATTGTAACGTTTTAAATAATATAAAGTTTTAAAATGTAAAATTTAGAGTTTAAAAATGTTTTATGTTAATTATTAATAGTTTAATTTAAGTTATTTTGTAAAAATTTAGATATATATGACAAATTTTGACTATATTTGAGTGAGTTTGGGTATGACATGTCTTTTTCAAATCCTAAATACCCAAATTTGATGTGATCCCGTAAATTAC